CAAGCAAGGGTAGCCTAAATACTGCTCTGAAGAGGGGGTTGTGTAGATATCTGAGGACACTCCTATGAGTATCACAGTGCTCTAGCACACATTGTACTTCTGCTGTGGTGAACAATTTTCATCTTATTCTGGTCATAAACTGCAGTTATTAGACCGCTCCATGGTATGCCACTGGAACTTTTATTCTATAGTACCAGATGACCATGTTGGCTAAACAGACTGCTACTCTACTTGCTATCTGTGTGATTCTGAGTAGATTTTTGAGGTAATCTAGATATCAGCTTTCTGATCTGTAAAATGGGTATGAATAGTGGCTATCTACCGCAAAAAGTTATTATGAGAATTAACTAAGTAAATCCATGGGTAGTGCTTTGAGTGGTCTGGCACATAGTAGGTATGAATAAATATTGGCTTTTATTTTTTGTAATTAACCACACATATTGGACATAGCTGAAAAGCAGACCAATGTACAAGCCCTAGGTCTCATGGTCTTTTTCTTTTCTTTTTCACAATTTTTGCCATTGGGTATGTGCACTTGCCAGAGAAGAACAAAGAGACAGATAGAGGGAAAATCAGAAATCCACTCCTCAGAGTAAATGACCATGCTATAATCCCTTCTCCCCACTCTCTTTTTGGGATTTTGGGCCCACATGCACATACACCCAGTGTGTGATTTTCAAGCCACCAGGTCCAGGAACCTAACTGTGCTGTTGGTCATGTGGGATCCAGTGCCTTAACTACCATGCCACCTGCTGATCTGATCATGGCCTTTTAGATTTTGAAAATTTTCAAAGTTCTTTCTGCTTCTTGGCCCTTGCATAGGCTGCTCTCTCTTCTAGAATACTCATTTCCTTTTTTTTCACCTTGCTAATTCCTTCTCAAACTTTGCGTCTAAACTTGTATTCTGCTATGAGTCCTAACCCAACTTGTCTTTACATTCTTAACTTTGAGCATGCATAAATAAATAAATAAATAAATAAATAAATAAATATCACTTTATAAAATTAAGTGGTAACATCAATTACCTCTCCCTCTCCCCCCCCTCTCTCTCTCTCTCTCTCTCACACACACACACACACACACACACACACACACACACAATCACAGGTTTATGTGATATATCTGTATATATAATTCTCTATATGAGTCCTTGCCATTTTTTAAATTCTGTAAGGGCAGATACCATGCTTATTTTGTTCAGCAAATATAGTTTTTAGCACAGTGTCTGATATATCACAACCATTGAATATATATTTGTTGAATAAAAGAATGAGTGAATAAAATTAGATGAATGAGTGAATAAAATTCAAGAGCAAAGAGCTGACTATGATTGTCACATATATCATCCTGAATTCTAAAGCACATCACTGGCTTTATTTTAAAACACACAATAAAATTGCTGAGCACGACACATAAGCAAACTTTTCTATGTGTCTCCTTTACATTACAGAGACTTTGCAAGAAATGTCATTATTCATTACAGACCCAGAATTTCCTCTGAGATTTTCCACGTGAGAAAAGGACAAAATAACTGTAAGTAACATTAATCAAATGATCATAACCTCTCTATAAAATATAAATGAAATACTATTAAATTACATCAAGCATAAAGCTTATATAAGTTAAATAATCTATTCAAATTTGCTCTTTTCTTGGTTACAGATATTTTATGATCATAGTAGTCAGAAAAAGAATTTTTTTCAACTGTGAGATATAAAAATAAAATGGATTAGTCTACCCTCTTAACAAATATCAGATCTTTTAGAAACCAGCATGGCAGCACACTGTAAAACATATGTAACATGCAAGCATAATGTATGTCCCATAGTTGCTCTTACACCGTGGTTATATAGAGTAATAATGATATGAGCAGTGGTTTTCATTATGGCTATAATTCAGAATTTGTGGGATTTTATGAAGTGAAGATGTCTGAGCTCAAAGTCCAGAAATACTGTTTCAATTTGATGTGGAATATGATTTAGGTAGCATCACTTTCATGAAAGCTTTATGACTGGCTCCGATACAAAGCTAAAATTGAATACTACTTATTTATCGATACATGTCAATTTTTTTTTTGGGGGGGGGGAGAGATTTTCGCTCTAGGGCGCGTGCGCTCACCAGACAGACAAAGAGAGACATAGATACAGAAAGCAAGAAATCACCCCCCAGGGGGGATGGTCACACCGCAATCCGTTCTCCTCCATTCTCCTCTCGGGATCTTGGGCACGCACGCACACGCGCCTGGCGTGAGTTTTAAGCCACCGGGTCTGGGACGCGAACCGCGGTCGACTACATGGGAGTCCAGCAACATAGCCATTATGTTAACTGCTGGTTCCCCATGCCAAATTTTTTAAAAATCTTACCAAATAATCTTGGGTAATTAAGCAAGATAGAGAAATTATATGGGTAATATTAATCACCTGCTTTGCTTGCAGTAGAAAGTTGTAATATCATCCACTCTTGAAATATATTTATATATATTAATTTGAAATTTCCTTACATCCTCTGATTTCTCATATTATCCATTTAATGTAATTTGACATAATTTATTGAGCGATTGCTATGCCCAACAGACTTTTATCTGACATTGAGAAATCAAAAAACGTGTAAAATTTTATTATTGTCCTTGTACAGCTTCATGTCAAATGGAGATACAGATATACACCAATTTTCTAGAGTTAAAAAAAAAAGTGTAGTTAAGTGCTGAAATAGAATATTCCAAAACATAAAGTGCACAAGCTCTACCCCGACCCACAAAATACACACAACTAAATGAAGAGATCAGAGTTTCATAGAGGGAGTGGTGTGCTCTTGAAGGGTATTCCATAGGACTTTCACAAGGGAATGTAAAGAACAGACCAGAGATTTGGAGCTGAAAAGTAAGTGATGCTTTTGGGAGTTTGGCAGGATCAGGAAGAACACAGACAGAAGTGTGGGGCCCAGTTCCCTGAGAGCTACAGACGTCTTCTGTACAGCATTCTTTTACTCCATGTGCACTACAGAGGCACATAGGGTGTTAAACCAGACAGTGAAATCTACTACTTCAGAGAATATTTAGTGTTGCTTAGGGAAATAATGCACACATTAAATAATTAGCCAATAGCATAATATTAATTCTAAATCATGTATAGTACCGATAAATACTGTATTATCTCAGACAGGATCACAGCAGTAGGCTAATTCATTATCCTAGCTAAATTAAAACACAAGGTCATGAGGGTAGAAAGGTAGGAAAGGACAGGACTGTAAAAACCTTTGAACATACAGATTGAGATTTTTAGTTAAGGCTTTTTAATAGTTCATTTGGATTGCCTACAGATTTGTATAAGTAGGAAAGCAGAGATTGGTTTAGATTTTTATGGTGGGGAATGGGATGCACTGAAAGAGAGAAGACTGTAGGCAGGAAGGACAGTTACCCGATAGCTACAATAATCCGAGCAGGAAT